TTTTTTTGTATGTATATGGTAAGTCATACATTTTACATTAAAACAATATGAAAGCTTTAGTGAACCATATTCTGATTACACTTATATTTTTCACTCTGAAAGAAACAGACCTATTTTGTAATGCCACAGTTAGGCTAAAATCATTTTCATTCTATTGTTATGAAACCAAGTCACTGTGATATCTTTCATGTTTCCTATTATCTTTCCCTTTTCTTGAGTTTCTTTCTTTGCTTTATTTTATTTTGTTTTTTATTTTTTAGAAAAGTGCAGGAACATTGAATGTGATAAATAAAGACCTTAGAACATAAAGGTTATTGATTTTTCTTTCAAGACTAGAAATGAGTAAATTAGAAAAATTTTAATGTGGAAACTTTATATTTTAAAGGAAAAAAAATTAAGTTACTAATTTAAGCTGGAAGTGAGTTTTATAAATTCATGGTAGAAGCAAATTCACATTCATTTAAAGAGATGTAAGTTGGGGAGCTTGTTTGGATTGATTTAATCAGGGATTCTTTTCCTAGATCAAAGAGCCCACTACTTAAAAACGTTTAATATATTTAATGGTGTCTAATATGTGCCAGGACACAGTGGTGATTCATTTATTGAATCTAAAGCCAGAACAAATTATTCTCTGAACAACAGGACAGGGCCCAAGGGGGGATGTTTAACAGGATCAGATAAAGAGACACATTTATAAAATATGTCTGGTATTAATATGTATTCTATTATGCATAGTCAGTTACCTAACTAAAATCATTATTCAGTATTATGAGAAATCAGCCATAATGACAGAAGTTCATGTTATTCGTTTTACCCACAGCAAAGACAATAAAGAGGAATGGAGGAAGGGAAAGAGAAGAAGAGGAGCAAAGAGGCTAGGCAGAAAGGCAGCCAGAATAGCAGGGCTTTTTGATAATGAATTAGGATATCTGCCAGTGATGAAAAGGAGCTCTGGTAGCGTAGTGGTTATGAATTGGGCTGCTATCCTCAGGGTCAGCAGTTCGAAACTACTAGCTGTTCTGCAGGAGAAAGATGAGGCTTTCTGCTCCCATAAAGATTTACAGCCT